CATCTCGCCTTCGGGTTTCAGGAGCTGTTTCTCCTGCCCTCTCAGCCTCTCTGTGCTGGTCTGTCAACCCCACCCCACCCCCATCCCATTACTCCCCCCACTCCTGGTTGGGGTCTTCTAGTCCTGAGGTGTTTTTACCGTTGGCTTAGGAATTCATGTAGCTAGTTTGGGCCATATGGAGGGTGTAAATGGGAGAACCCAATGAGAGCACCAGGATGAACCCTGGACCTGGGGCCCTACCTTTTTTTTTTTTTTAAATTAATTAATTAATTTATTTATACAAGCACTGGGCACAGTCAGAAGCGTGGTAGGGTGAGAGGATTCACTAGAGCCAGAGCAGGGAGCAGAACAGGCAGACTGACAAAACATACTGCTGAGGGGAGCAGTGGGCATGGGAGGAGAGGTCTGCGCGCCATGTGGGACCCTCGCTAGCGGCCAGGGATCGAACCGGTGCTGCAGAGGCTGCGGGCAGCTTCGCAGCCCAGCGCTCAACCGCTGCACCACCAGGGGAGACCCGGCCCTACCTTTTTGAACACATGCACACCTCACACTGCTTGGTTTTACACAGTGACGTCTGGGTTAGTCTCCACTTGAAGACAAGGTCTCATGGCACAAATAGAGAACTTTAGCTCTAGGTTGGATCTTGGAGGGACCCATTCTGCTTGGCTTAGCTAATTGCTGTCCCTTAGACTGGGCAGAATCTCATTTTCGCTCTTACTGAACTGCCTGGGCTGTGTTCTACACATAGGGTCAAAGTGTTGCACAGCAGCAAACTGACTGAGCTTTTTTTTAAGATTTTTTTATTTATGCATACAAGAGCTGGGGTATAGGCTACACTGCTGAGGGGAGCAGCAGGTGAGACAGGAGAGGTCTGCTGTGCCATGTGGGTCAGCTCCCTGGCCGGGGATGGAACTTTGCTGCAGTGACTGCAAATTGCTTCATAGTGCTGAGACTTAACCCCTTCGGCCACCAGGGAGGCCCAGACTGAGCTTTTGAATCCTGCCTGGGGTGGGTTAGGTGTGAAGACAGTTTTCAATCAAAAGACATGTTGAGGATGGTAAACGACATGACTGATCTGACCAGCCAAAATGCTGTGTTAAAGTGGCTGTTAGCCCCTAGCTCAACACTTTGTGACTTCTTTCCAGAGAATGCTATTCCTCAAGGGATTCACAAAATTTCCTCCTTTTTTTTCCCCAAAAAGACATTGAAATATTGCTTTCTATCCCCTTCTAGGAGACTTGCATGCTACTAGTATGATAAAAGTTGTGAAACTTGTATAGGGTAAGTCTAGTTCAAGTAAAAAAAAAAAGGCCTTTTTGTGTGTGTGTGTGTGTGTGTGTGTGTGTATGTGGGACCCTCGCCGGTGGCCGGGATTCGAACTGGCGCTGCACAGGCTGCAGGCAGCCTCGCAACCCAGCGCTCATGCGCTGCACCACCAGGGGAGGCCCAAAAAAAAATGCTTTTTTAAAGCACACACACACTGGGGATTAATACTTTGGAATTGACTACCATAGAAGTGGAAATGTAAATAGTTTAAAAAAATACTTAGATTCGGGCTGACAAGCTAGCGCCGGTTCGATTGCTCCCTGACTCCCACAGTCTCCTGCGCCCGCTGCTAGCAGAATTCTCTCACCCTCCCGCGCTCTGCCTGTACCCAGTGCTTGTATAAATAAATAAATAAATCTTAAAAAAAAAAAAAAAAATACTTAGATTCTATGACAATAGGTGTTTACTAAGTTGCGCTGTAGGAGCTCGGCTGTACAAGGAGAAGCCTCCCTACCTCTTTGAAAATGGTGTTATTTCTGTTAATGCTCTTGTGCCTTCATTTGTTCACTGAATATTTGGTTAAGTACCTACTAGGCAGGCAAAACACTTGGTTATGTTTTGCAGTGTGGACACTCTTATCTCTTTATTGGGATAATTCTTCTGGAATACCCACTTCAATGCTCATTTTTAGGGTTACCTATTTCTGATTATAAAAGAAAAAAGATAGTAGCATGATTATTGAATATATTTTACCTCTCATAATATGTCAAAAATAGCAAGTTCTCGGCTAGCTTTAGGATCCAAAGTTACTTCCTCTCCATCATTATTCTGCTCGGGGGATTTTTAAACATGGAAATGTACCAGGGCCCTAGTGGGATGGAAGGGTTGGCATTTAGCGCTTCTCCCTCCATTGCAGGTGGGTCCCGGTAGGAATCCACATGCTCAAGAATTAGCACCGAGCTCAGGGTTCATGAAAGGATAGTCACTGAAAGGCTCTGTTCTGTAGTATTTAAAGATAAACATTACCAAATAATTATTTTTTTTTTTTAAGTTGGAAAGGTTACAGGAGCTCAAACTCTTCCCTTGGCTCATAACATATTCCTCCTCCACCAAATTATATGGTAGCTTGTTCCACATTTCAATTTCTAAATGAATTGGTCTTCATTCTTCCTGGGTTCGTGACAGACATCATGTCTAAGAATTAATGTTTCACATCCTGCCGCTTCCAGCATGTTCAACAAATTACTCAGTGTCATTGTCACTGAATTAATTAGAGGGATTCATGGGATGACTTTCACTCATGTGAATGTGTTCTTTTTAATTAGGGTTCATTTATTTTGTATTAATAATTACATATCTACATGGTATCCTTTGTGGTTTTAACATTACCGACCTCAGGAAGTTGTTATGAGGATTGATGCCAACAAAGAAGTTAAAACTGCAATACTTGGGAAGGTCTCAACTGCTCTCTTTATTCTCGTGAGTGAGCTTGCTGACAGTGGGGCCAGGTAAGCAGGGGGGACCACATCCCTGTCTTTCCAGTGAGGACTCTGGCGATCAGATATTCAGTGGTCTGGAATTACTGCTGCTGTCAGGACGAGAGCCAGCTCTTCATATTCTGAGTCCTGTCTTCCCAACTGTCCTCATCATTGACATTTTAGGGACTGGTATTTCAACCTGTGGATGGGGCTGCAAGCCTTCAGACCAAGCCGTCAGCATGTGTGGAAATGTGTAGTACAGCACAGCGTGTAGTAGGAACTCAGTTAAGACTTCATTTCTTTCTATGCATTTACAGCTGTTAGACTTCTCAGTCTCTCCTCCTCTGTTTCCCCACTGAGCCACCCCAACTGAGCCCTTCATGGCAGACTCCTCAGGAGACTCCAGTTTCAAGCAGTTGGTGGTTATTTTAGGCAGATCAGCAGCCATAACAAAGTACCACAGACTGGCTGGTTTAAATAACAGAAATTGACTTTTTCACAGTCCTGGAGATGATTAAGGAGTTGGTGGGGTTGGTTTTTTCTGAGGCCTCGCCCCAGGGCTTGTAAATAACCTTCTTCTCCCTGTCTTTTCACACAGTCCCTTCTTACAAGAATGCTACTCATTTGAGTTAGCTTCCATCTTCATGATCTCAATTTAATTCACTTTTAAAGACCCGGTCTCCAAATACAGTCTTGAGTATGAGGAATATGGGGCTCCACATGTCGATCTTAGGGAACATAGTTCAGCCCCTAGCAGTGGTCTAGCAAGGAAGGGCATCTGAGCCTGGACGCTCCAGCCCAGTGTGTGCTCAGCACCTAATGGCAACCCAGACCCATTCAATGCCTTCAGTGCATTCTGCTCAAAAAGCACACCAGAGGGGGATAAGTTTGTGATTTAGGATGAGGAGGAAAGAGAATGAGACCTGTTATGTGCCAGGCAATATGGTGGTGCTGAATACACATTATACCCCCAAATCTCAACACCACCAAGGACTTGGTAGGCCTAATTCCTCCATTTACTGAGGAAGAAAGGGACATGAAGTCGCTTGCCCAGGTCACATCACTGTTGGGTGCTTTATGCCCATTTCTCACCAATATTAAGTTGATAAGGAGGTGGAGCCATGTTGGCAAAGTAGGGAGAAAGCAAACCTTGTGATCACCCAATTCAAGCCCTTCACCAAGAAGTAAAAAGTAAATGCAAGACTGATGATACAAATCCAAGGTTGGGAAGCAAGAGCAGCTTCTTCACATGTCTCTTCTCCACATGCCTCTTCCAAGTTTTGTCCCCCCGATCCTTTCTAGCTTCCCTATGACCCTCCCTTCCTTACGTGGGTCAGGGAACATGGAAACCCTCCTGTCTATGGAGATTACACAGTTACAGTAATAATGACTTCTCATGAAACTGATGTTAACATTAAGTGAGTTAGTCTTTGAAAAATGCTCACCAAAGGATTAATCATTGTTCGTATAAAAACAAGGCCTACAGAGGGCCCCCCTGGTGGCTCAAGGGGTTAAGACGCAACCTATGAAGCTGTCCACAGCCACTGCAGCACAAGTGCGATCCTTGGCCAGGGAGCTACCCACATGGCACAGCAGACCTCTCCTGACTCTCCCGCTGCTGCCCTCAGCAGTGCATTTCAGTCCATCTGCCTGTTCTGTTCCCCACTCTGTCACAACTCTGGCCTGTACCCAAGTTCTTGTATGTATAAATAAATAAATCTTTAAAAAAAAAGAAAAAAGAAAAACAAGGCCTACAGAGCCAAGTGTCTCTCTGTATTTTCCAAAACTGTGTGTCTCTAATGGGCAGGTAGTAGAACCTCACTCGTATTTATTATGTGAATAAATGAATGTAAATATGGTGGACCCTGGGCTACCTGTGATGAGGAGAAACTACCCTGTTGCAGCAGATTTCTTGTTTTTTTGGTTGGTTGGTTGAAGCCCTAATCCTGATGGAGAAATAGAAGAGGGGGGAGTGAGCCAGTGCAATGGGAAAGAGCTTTTCTCACCCTCCTGAGAGGTAGGAGAGCTCTAGGGAGCCGAGGCTGGTTTTCTCACCCATTTTTCCTGTGTCATCTCTAGATTGGATGGGAGAATCACCTCCTGGATTCTGACAGTACGGAAATCAACCATTGTTAAAGATATTTGGTGGACACTAATGCATTTAGAGCTCCCATTCTGATACTCTTCTCTAGCAATGGTTTAATCATTTGTGTTGTCATGAAAAATCTGAAAGTGATTGCTCAATTTTCTTTTCAGGCTCAGGCTGCATGAAGAGAAGGTTATTAAAGATAGAAGACATCATCTCAAGACCTACCCAAACTGTTTTGTCGCAAAAGAACTGATTGACTGGTTGATTGAGCACAAAGAGGCTTCTGACAGAGAGACTGCAATTAAACTCATGCAGAAATTAGCAGACCGGGGCATTATTCATCATGGTGAGTGAGGTGGCACAGTCAAGGTACCCTGAGAGGAACAAAGAACTACATCTTCTTTTTTTTTTTTTTTTAAGATTTATTTATGCACACAAGAGGTGGGGTACAGATCAGAAGTGCAGGGTTGGGGGTGAGAGGATTCACCAGAGACAGAGTGGGGAGCAGAACAGGTGGATTGACTGAAATTCACTGCTGAGGGGAGCAACGGGTGAGCCAGGAGAGGTCTGATGCATCTTGTGGGTCAGCTCCCTGGCTGGGGATTGAACTCGTGCCATGCTGCAGTGGCTGCGGATAGCTTCATAGTGCTGCAACTTAACCCCTTGTGACACCAGGGAGACCCCCAGAACTACTTCTATTCCAGTACTGAATCTACCCATTTAAGAAATAACACATTTTACTTTATATGTCCCCTGTGTACCTCTGCCCAGTTATATTTCCTTCTTCCCTCCAAGAGACATTTTATTTCCATGGACTTTCTGCACATGCCTCTACCATCAAAGTATCTTCCTATTTTAATGTTTTAAGCTGTTAAAGAGATGCACGTTTATTCTTTTGCACCTTGACCAGCTCACTGAGCTTCATCCATGTAGATAGTGTGTATCTCCAGTTTGTCCATTTTCACTACCGTGTCCTGTGCCATGTGTAATTACACCAACATATCCTTATCCATTCTCCTCCTGATGGACATTTACATTGCTTCTAATTTTTTGCTGTTACACTGAGTGGTTCAGTAAATATTCTTGAACTTGTCCCCTTTAAATCTCTAACCTTGCCTGAGACTTTTTCCTTGCTGTTATTCTCTTGGGCAGCAATGTCCTTCCTTCTCGTTTTTGACTAATTTCTACTCATTCTTCAAAGCCCATTTATGTGCCACCTCCTCAGAGAAGCTTCCATATCCCAAAGTTAAGTGACTTGGATACTAGTGCTCCTCCTTTGGACTCTCAAACAGTCTCATCTCACCTTTTTCATGGCTTTATTACACCATGGTTTACTTACATGTTGACATTCCTCTTAATCTTTTTTTTTTTTTTTTTAATTTTTTTTTTCTATAGAGGCATGTTTTATTTATTTATTTGCTTGTTTGTTTGTTTTGTTTATACAAGCACTGGGTACAGTCAGAAGCGCAGGAGGGTGAGAGAATTCACCAGAGCCAGAGCGGGGAGCAGAGCAGGCAGAAGGACCGAAGGACACTGCTGCGGGGAGCAGCGGGCGGCAGGAGAGGTCTGCGCGCCATGTGGGACCCTCCTCCGGTGGCCAGGGAGCAGCCGGGGATCGAACCGGCGCTGCAGAGGCCCCGGGGAGCTTCGCAACCCAGCGCTCAACCACTGCGCCACCAGGGAGGCCCTCCTCTTAATCTTTATGGACTGCACTTTCCTTGAGAGTGAGGCCTACTGCAATAGCATGCTCAAAAACAAATTGTGGAATGGGCCTCCCCAGTGATGCAGTGGGTTGAGCGCAGTGCTTTGGAGCTGTCCACAGCCTCTTCAGCTCAGGTTCAATTCCCAGCCGGCCAGAGAGATACCCACATGGCACAGCAGACTTCTCCCGTCTTGCCCGCTGCTCCTCTAGCAGAGTTTTCAGTTGTCTGTCTGTTCTGTTCCTTGCTCTATCTCTGGTGATTTCTCTCATCCTCCAGTGCCTCTGGCCTGTACCCCAGTTCTTGTATAAATAATCTTTTTTTTTTTAAAAAAAAAAGAAAGAAATTGTGGAATAATTGATAAATTGAATTTTGTGATCCTTTTCATGGATAGTAATAATGATGGTAATGATGGTGTTAAAAATTCTGAGCACTTATTCTGCTCCAGGTACTGGAACAGATGTTACACTTTACATGCACTCAATCATATCGTAGATATTTGTGTACTTAGAAAATTAGTTAGTAAAACAATTCTCAGTTAGCATCTTATTTCATTTGAGTCATTAAATGTTTTTTTTTTCTCATTTGCCTCTTGTTGTATATTGTGTTTCAGTGTGTGATGAGCATAAGGAATTCAAGGATGTCAAGCTCTTCTACCGCTTTAGAAAGGATGATGGCACCTTCCCGTTGGACAACGAAGTGAAGGCCTTCATGCGAGGCCAGAGGCTTTATGAGAAGTATGTTGCATGTGACATTCCCTGTTGACGGAACTGAGGCTATTTGAATCTTTTATCATTTTGACTTCAGCCTGGCTCTTCCATGTGGGATGGTTACATAACTGTTCCTTTTACTATGAGAAAACTCTCTCATCGTTTGCTTTTCTCTTTTCCAGAAATTAAATTGATATCATAAGATCACCGGTATTCAAATAATGCTTTCCATATTTAAGTCAGCTTGCAAAACTTGACGTGATCTTTGCAGTGATGCTGCAGCCCTTTCTCTTCATAAAATATTGTTATTGGATAACTTGGAGGTTTAGTCTTGTCAGTGGCTGGAGAAGCAGTGTCAAGTACAGGGGAAGTTCACGTTCAGCTTAAGAGATGAGTGGTGAAAGAACTTCAGATAACAGAATGTGTAACAGGAATAATCTCTCAGCACTTTGGAAACATGAATATAATGTAACTCAGGAGTATTTGGTTGGTAGATCTTTGGTTTTTCCTTTCATTCATCACTTTTTAAGAAAACTGAACATTGGATGATAACATTATATAGGTTTCAGGTGTCCAGGGTTGTACATCATCATCCATTTATACTATATCATCTGCATATACTCTATCATGCTTGCCACCAAATATCTAGTTTCCATCCGTTGGGTTGGTAGATCTTGAATCTCCCCAGTGCTCTGTCTCTGAGCTGATCTTCTATTTCTGTGTTCTCTTTCTCATTCCACCGTACTTGCTTATTTTTTTCTTCCCAGTGTAACCAGTAGAAAAAGGAGTGCAGGAGTACTGGCAACTCTCTCCTCAATTCCAGCTGCCTCCCAAGGTTGCATGGAGTTGGAAATATGTCTTAATCACATAGCACCTACTCTACGATGGGTGGGTTGGGGCATGGAGGAGGGGTGCCCAGATCATCAGATTAAGGAGTATGATGACTAAGAGCAAGATTGGGTTTGAGGTCTACTTGTCACCTTCCCTTTGTAGACCCCGCTTAATTTTGCACAAGCTCAATTGCCCCAGACATACTGTCATTACAGCAATAGCTGTGATAGTAACAGTAATAGCCATTACTGTTACATTCTCCCAAACAGTAGAGTTTTTAGTTTTCAAATAAAGCTAGTAAACAGGATAAATATCTGTAACTTAAAAGAACAGCATTGAATCTGGACATACTTCTTTCAGATGATAAAGGATATTTTGGTTGCACGTTCCAGACTACAGAATTTTATTTTATTCTAGAAGTTCACAAAATTGATATCTATAAGAAAAATGTTGAGCTTAGGATTATCAAATGCTTTATATACTGAAACAGAGTTAGCTATATAAAAGAGGATGTAGATTTGAACTACACTTTTGACTTGCCTTACTAAAACAAATAATTGAAACATACATTTTAAGCTGACCTGGATTTCATCTTCAAGTGTAGAGACTTTGCAATTCAAATTGAACCTCAGCCTTATCATGGAGTTAAATCCCTCCTAGATTTGCTTCATAGAGAATTTAGTTTAGTTTTTTACTCCAAAGGCCTTGGTTTTCTCAACAGCAGGAGCTTCTGTCTCGAGCAACTGGTAGTCTATTCTGCTTAGGATGATAAACCTGATTGAAGAATTGGTTTAAAGATCTGTGTGTGTTCCCATTGCTTCCTTTATATTTTCTCTTCTTTAAGGATTGAAGAGAAATAGAAGGCAGAGACTGTATCCAAAGGGGAAAAGCCCTGTTGCGTGTTTTATCTTATCAGAAGTTCCTCCCCATGTGCCTGTCCCTAGGATCTTTTTTCCTGTTCCTCCCGCTGCCTGGCACAATAAATATTTGTTGAACGAACAAAGGACTCTGCATGCTGTGATTGCTCTGGACTGCTTGCTGAGCTTGTACCATGAAAGGGACTGGAGAGAACTTGCTTTTAATGACAAGCAGCAGTATGCAGAGTTTACCTTGTCTTGCCTTTTTGGAATTTACAAAGCAGTTTATACATGAACAGCTTTGATAGTCTGTACAATTCTGTGCACAGATTTAGCCACAGTTAGTTCCATCATAGAGATGGGGCACATGAGCTCAAGAGAGGTTCAGTGGTTGATGTAACCCTAAACCATGAAGCTAGAGTTCCAGAAAAAATGTCTCTAAGTATTTGGCTCCTTTTGTTCCACTTTTAGTTGAGAAGTGGTTTTCACACTGAGATCCTGAGTTCTGCAAATTGTCTCAAAGGTTGTGTCATAAATAGGTGTTAATTGTTTTTTAAACTTCAATAAAAAATACCTTCTAATACTATTATATATGCTGCTTTCGTAGTTTGCTGTGTTGCCCTGTTAGTTAGTGGCTTCAGAGAACCTTGAAATAATTGTTTCCTGCCTTCTTAGCTTATTTGCAGTGTCCAAAGATTGCAGTGAAAATGGATTAAAAGTTGGTGCCTTTTGCATCTGCTTATCAGAATGACATGGAATGATCTTAATAGTGTATCACTAATGTCAGGAACTGCTAAGAGTCTTGAGATTTAACTGACTTGGAACAAGTTTGTCTGCCACCTTGTCATGGTGCTTGGCAGAAGGCACGAGACCCCTGGCTTTGGGCCAAAGGACAGTAATAGCTGTGATAGTAACAGTAATAGAGTATCATCATTTTCTGGAACTAGTTCCCGAAACCTTTGTTCCCACAGTACAGCACAATGAGGACCAGATCACACCTACCTGGGCTGGGCTTTCATATTTCATAGGAACCCCAGGCTTGAGTAACCTGAATCTTTTGTAATGGTCTTGAAGCAAGCATGGGTTCTGACTCAGAGGAAAACATTGTCTCTATTGTACTGGACAGTAAACAAATCTGCCCTTTTGCTCCAGAGCAAGATACTGCCTTTATCTTCCAAGTCTGTTCATGATACAAACTTTCTTGGGAAGAAAGAATATAAGCTGTTAGTGTTTGAAAACTTGAGGTGAGAGTTCCTTGGAAAATTGTTTCCCAACAACTAAATAAAAATACACAAATTTGTTGAAGTTGGTAGCCGATCATTGGGGAAGCCATGATTATCTTTACCACTCCTGGTTTCTAGATTTTTGTGTTAATCAAAACTACCTTTCAGGTTTTTATTTACTGTTTAACTTCTAGAAGTAAATATTGCATTGCAAGTGTGAACTTACAAAAATGGAATTTTCTGTAAGATTTTGAGAAAAGAGATTGGTTGTTTGAGGTATTTTTAAACTGTGCTATTTTTAAAAGACCATCATTCCTTTTCACAGGGCATTTAGTGACAACTTTAGAACAAAATGCACTTGGTTTCACTGGATGTACAGCTCTAAGTAGAATCAGGGATTTTTTGACCTAGAACTATATCCCTGGTGGATGCTCCTGATTATCTCTTCTTTCTTTCTGTCTTTCTTTCCTTCCTTCCATTTGAGACCAAACAACTGAGTTCTTTTTCCCATCTGATACCTGAACAAGCCCAGGAAAGACACTGGAAGCAAAAGGTCAACCCACATTCTTGGGTCAAAGAATGGAGGAGAGAACCGGTGCTCTAGACCCTTCTCCCTGAAGTGGGGAGAAGCAGGTACTTGTGTGGGGGAGTACTGAGGAGGGGAGAGTCTAGAGGATCGTGTCAGCAGGATTTCAGAGAAATAGGAGCTGGTGGTGTTCCAGGAACTGCATTCATGCCCCTTTTTCTTCCAGTTTGGTCTTGACTGGAGCTGTCCTGTCTCTGGTGGGCATGCTCTTTACTATGATAATGATATTGTGGCTTAACCTTTATCTTCTGCATGCATCTTGGTCTCAGCTTGTCAGCCTGGTTTTCTGTGATTTAGTCTGCAAAAAAAGATGAACAGGAACGGAACAAGGATGAAGAACTTCTGGTTACCTGCCCTCCTGCTTGCCTGCCTGCCTGCCTTTCTCTCTTCTTCCCTGCCCTCCCTCCCTCCCAACCTCCCTCTCTCCGTCCTTACCATTTATGTTTTCTTTTTCTTTTTTTATAGCAGGCTATGCAAAGTTGTATTATTTGCCTGATGGGCTATTCAGATGTTTAATAATTTTCCCATTGGGGTCCTGGACTGAAGAGACTCATATAAAACAAACTCATTGTCTTATTTTAAATACTAACAAAAATTTATGCTGCCATTATTTCCAAATAACTTCTCTTTCTGAACACTGCCTTCTGAATTATAAGTGTGGTTTAAAGTGTACAAGAGAGTTACCTGCATGTTACAAACAACTGGCCCTGGTTTATCTCACTTTTTTTTTTTTGCTTTTTTTTGTTTGTTTGCTTGCTTGTTTTCTATTTTTATTGTAGTAACGTCAGCCAGTAGAAGAAGGGCCAGCTCAGAAAATAGCCTTATGGCTATTTGGTTCAGTTAGCTGAACTCAACCTTCTTTCCTGGCAACAGAACTAGTCAGTGTCTACGCCTAAGGACTGGGAAATTGGGTGGTGAATGCATCTGGGGACACAGCGCTATTGTACACACACAAAAAAGGAGAGGCAACCACTTCACATTGATCAAGATGGCAGTTAAACAAACCAAAAAAAAAAAAAGAAAATAAAAAGCGCTGGTGAGGATGTAGAGAAATCAGAGTCTTTATACATTGCCAAGGGAATGATGCACCTGCTGTAAAAAGGGGTAGGATGGTTCCTCAAAAATTACACATATAATTATCTTAGGATCTAGCAATTCCACTTCTGGATATGTGCTCAAAAGAATCACAAGTCGGGGGGCCTACCCTGGTGGTGCAGCGGTTGAGCACTGGGCTGCGAAGCTGCCCGCAGCCTCTGCAGTGCCGGTTCGATCTCCGGCCGCCTGCAAGGGTTCCACAAAACGCGCAGACCTCTCCTACCACACCCGCTGCTCCCCTTAGCAGTATACTTCATCAGTCTGCCTGTTCTGTTCTCTGCTCTGGCTCTGGTGAATTCTCTTACCCTCCCGTGCTTCTGACTTTACCCAGTGCTTGTATAAATAAATAAATAAATCTTTAAAAAAAAAATCACAAGCAGGGGTCTGAATAGATATTCATTCACCCATGTTCAAAATAGCATTACTCATATAACT